ATGCCTAAATTTTGTGTAAAAAAGTGTAAACATGTAATTATTGCGTAAGGTGAGGGTCTGAAAAATTTGCTGATGTACGTTGCATGAATAAAGAATCATCAATATATAAAAATTCCCTGCTTGAACGAGCAACCATCCCCTTATCCACCCCACACACAGAACTGGAGAATGTCTATCCTATTATCCACGTACTATTGACTTTTAGAAGCGCAATAATATGTACAGTATGTAAAGTAATGGATACTTCTGATTATTCAGTCGAAACAATGTCGATTACATCAGACTTGTCACAAACTTCCACAACATCGACTATTGCATCTCCACCAAGATCGCCATCTCCATTTAAATTACGGAAAAGAAGCTACAAAGAATTCGAATAAAACTAATCATCATTTTTTTTATATATGTAGGTATATCCTGTATTTTTTTTTATTTTCGTATAAATAAACTGACCTGGAGGTCGATTCGCATTTACTTTTTACATTAACGATCACTAATTTTTCTGGAAAAAAAAAATAAATCGATTAATTATTTACATATCCGATAATTTTCTACCACTACTACATGCTGAGAATATGAGTCATTAGACTCTGGGATTTGCCCATAATCAAATATCGCCTTCACATCTTGAGTGTTCTTATTTATAATTGTTATAAAATCTTCGTCAATTCTATGCATATACTTAGACAGATTTTTAAATTGCATATTGTTTAGGATTATCGGTAAATCTACTTTGAGTTTTTCGTCTGTTATTTTTAGATTTGCGAGACATATTGACATATCTAAAATAAATGACAATTTTTTCTCGCAAAAGTGATCGGCGTGAACAATTGTTCACGTGCACGTGATGTTTGTCCTAATGTAATGAATGCACTTTGTGCCTAACTCGAACTTTTAGAAAAAGACCCATTTTGACCTTAGTATTAGATTATTCTCAGATAGGGCAATTGCTAGATAAGCCTTATATATCCAGTTACATAATATAGATAGATGTACGCCATGAAAGAAATTCGAATTCTGTTTATGTACCATAGATGTTCTATCAACGATATGCTATAGAAGGAATATTTTTTGGTTTGTATAATCAATTGACATTATTATTATTGATAAAACGATAGATTTTATTTACGGATATAGCAACTCATTATTGGTAATAGTAAATAGGTTTCATTTACGGATATGAGCTTGGCAAATAACACCATAACTCTCTCGTAAACTACAAGCCGAATTTGAAATATGAGTAGCAGTGATTCTGAGTCTTCTTACGGACCAAAAGTTAAAAACTTGAAAGAACAACTTCGCAAGTTAAGAAATGATAGAATTCAAGAATTCAATACAGCGGAACAGCTTATAGCAGCAGGTTCTCCAACAACCGTGGATCTCAATCGTGATTATTTTAAGGCTGCTTATAAAGCCGAAAAAGCGGTACATAATAATGGCGATGCTGGTGAAGTGATAGATCGTATCGTAGAAGCAAAAAAAGCTGAAAAAAAAGCTAATGTTTATTTTAATCATAAATCTAAAGGTAATGAAATGAAGGCCTTAGGTGATATAAACAAAACTGCAAAAAAGTTGGCTACAATAGATTATAACATATATTCAACTAATGAGGAATTGAGAAAGCAACAGGAACTGCAATCAAAAAGATCAAAAAGTGCAGAAAAAACAAAAACAAAACCAAAACCAAAACCAAAACCTTAGAATTCCAATTTCTGTAATAAATTTGTATGATGTAATTCAATCAATCTGTTATTCGAATAATTTATTATCGGATGTATTAGCTTAGCATTTATTGTAATTATTATAATAAAGTTTCGCCAAAATTGGCTTGTGATTTTTAACTTTGTGTATGGAATGTACATCAGAAAAATAAAAAATAAATGTATGCTATTAATGTTAAGCATATAACGATCATGGAATAATAACGGTTTCTGCATAAAAGACTTTATTTTGCATGACTGAGAATTTTCTTGAAAAGATAACGCGCGTGTAATTTTATTTTTGGTTCCGAACAATAAGCCAATTAATTTTCCACTACATAATGACCTTTCCAACTCTGCTGAGAATATTCGAATCGAGATTATTTACCTCTAGATATCTACATACCTCTACATAATCAAATGTCGCTTTCACATCCCGAGTTCTCCTATTGATTATGACTATATTTTCACCTTCTACGATGTGTATATACTTAACCAGATTTTTGAATTGCATATACTGCGTAGGATTATCGGTAAATCTACCTTGAGTTTTTCGTCTGTTATTTCTAGATTTACGAGACATATTTGACGTATATATTAATATGATTAAACGACTTCAATTTTTTGCAAAAGTGATTGTAACCCACATTAATGACATCAAAAATTATGATCTCATGGGATCTTATTTTATTGATATAAAAACGTTGCTAAAACAACGATATAAAAATAAAAAATTATATATATATATATATTGGTGGAGTTTCACATTTGATCTAACATTTCGTTCCGTTTACCAGGATTAATAATATTGTCGTCATTTTCTCTATCTTTTTCTAATTTTTCTCTCGAAAGATTTTCCCAGAATCTACCATTATCAACGTTATAGTCATCGTCTTCTAAGGAGGGATTATAGGTCATCAAATTATCTAATTTAATGTATAGGATACGCAGATACAATCCGGTAAAATGAGAGTTAGTCTTGCTAATTTCACTAATATACGAAGAGCATTTTTTAACGAAGACACCTACTAAAACTATTTTTCTTATTTTTGCGGTTGGTTTTAGATGATTTTGGTCTAGAAGATTTTTGTTTGAACGATGTTGAGTTATTAGTATTGTTAGTATTAGAATCGCTAACACTGGGAACATTAGAATCGCTAACATTGGGGGCGTTAGAATTATTAGTATTACTCATTTTGCGCTTCTAAATATAAAAATTCATAATTAGTTAGTAGAATATCACTTTCTTTTTTGTAACATAAATGCCCAATTACATTACCTTAGAAATAAGTTGCGAGTATTTTTTTAATATATATAGTAGCGATGTTATTGCTAACCCATCTCATAAATCCAGTTTATTTATATTATTTCATTCGCTAAATCTGAGAACCTGCTAGAAGAAAAAAATTACATGATTAGTAATTACGTTATCCTGACATTTCTCAGATCTTTGCTCCATAAAGCAATTCTATTAGAATCATAAGTGCCAAGTACTGAATATATGAGTCATATAGTTCTATGTGAAGTATATTTCGTCATCTATGGGAAAATTAAAACTTTTCAATCTGCCGATCGCTCTTGTAAAATGTAAAATAAGCCAAAACTTGACGATCTCGGAGATGGCGGAGATCTCAACTCCCATAACATATGAATTTTGATATAAGCCAGACTCTACGTAGTATTGTTACTGATAAAGAACCTCATTCATTTCCTTTTTGTGTCTCATTTGTATTTTTTTCTTATCGAAAAGCTTTATTAATATTAATACTATAATTCATAAATATGAAGAGAAAATAATTTTAGCGGTATCACAAAATAATCTCGTGGAACAATAGAGCTGGTATATATTCGAATATTATGTTTTAGTCTAATCCATATACATTACTTTTTTTTGTGTTTCATACGCCATCGAGCTAATTTGGCTATTATTAGAAGTTCATAGAACGTGTAAAAGGTCAGTTGATATATATATTTGTGCGATCATATGCAGGTATATCAAAATTGGATTAACTACACATGGTTTAGATTCTTGTTAAAAATGTGTATTAATGTATGTATATATATTTTTTTGATTTGTTCCCATATATCAATAATATCTTCTCGTTTTATTAAAAGTGATTCAACTAGAATTTACACAAAAAATGAATCGAGTTTTTCTTAACTTATAGGTTAATAAAATCCACATATAAATTATTAAACTCATTATAATCACTAAATATGTCTGGTTTTGATATTACAATTATTATTCATGGTGACAAAAAAGGACAATTACCTAAACCTTTTAATAATCGTCCTGGGTATGATATGAAATATGTTATGGCAATTATTAATAAATATGATTATTATAATAGTGAACGAATTAAAAATGTTTTTGAGATTGAAAAATTATACGATAATTTGTCTATTGTAAAACAGGGTGAAAGTTTTATTAAGTGGGCTCTACGAGTTAGAATCAATCTTCAAGACTTATTAAGCGAGAATAAACTTGGTATGTATCATAGATATTGCTTATTCGCTTCTTATCCTGGAGGTAGACTTGAAGATTATAATAATTACCAAAACTACTACAGACCAAAACCACTTAAGAATGGAACTGCGATCTGTTTTGGATGTTGGAAAATTTTTCGTGTTAATGTTAATATAAAACCCAAAAAAATATTTGATCGTCGACGATGTATAGAAACTATAGAAGCTAGAGATCTGATGCTAGATCATTGGGATCACAAATGCGATAAACCTAAAACCGATTTTGGGCGTGCAAGGATTATACAAAGGGCTTGGAGAAATTTTAAGAAGAGACCTGAATCGTTGGCTGCTAAAGTCTGGAATGCAGTAAGAAATGATGGCACTCCTGACGAAGAGAAATTTTTAGGTATAACTACTCGCAAAGTAAAAAATCTTCAAACTCGGGATCAATTCAATCTGTGGCGTAATAATATTATCACAATGTATAAAAAAGAAAAAAACTTTGATATGCTCTTCCTCTATCAAAAAAGATATGAATATGAAGAATATTATATTCCGGGTGATTGGACAAGTTTCAAGAAACATCAACTACAACAAAGATTGAGAAATCATGTTGACAAGTTGTTCATTGAACGAGGTTATAAAATTGTCTGGGGAAGTTGGGATACGTTGCTGAAATGTATCAAAAATCCAGATGATAATTATATTATTGATAAGTACGGTCTTCGCATTGATAGAATATAATATATATAATATAACAATTTTATTTTTTGCCGTTTTTGAGCTAATGGTATTTTTTTTTTATTACGCAATTAATGATTTGATCTCTTTTTCCAGATATAGAGGATTCATCCAACCGACTCTGATAGACATAGGATTGGAAATTGGTACAGTAGTATTGAAGACAATAAATTCACCATTCCGCAAATAATTATTAATGACTCTGGAGGCTTTACGTGGATCTTCCTCTATGTATT